GACGCTGAAATTGTAAAGATAAAAGTACAGTGGGTAATGCATTATTATAATTATCATTAATATTAAGCACCCCAAATCCAAATAAACAGCATGACAATATTTGATAATATGCATTCACTTCGTGGCATTTCACCTTTCTTTAAAATATGTACATCTATTTCAAAAATATTATTTCAAGAATGTATGTATAAATATCTACATGTCATTGATTTAGCTTTATGATGAAATAATCTGTACACGTCAAAAGTACAGCATGTATCAGGTGATAATGGTCCTGATCGAAATCGGATATTACTGAAGAATAGTTTATATATCTTTCGATTATAATTTGATGTATACTAGTAGTTTGGGTAAACTTACAGTGATCAATATGGCACATCCTCATTGTTGCCAATTTCTGATCATCAGTTATGACAAGCTTCAATGGAGCTGGAGATATCTTTGATGTCGCCTGATACATAGTACAATGAAGCTTCACGAGGAAACATGAAGTGCTTAGCCGTCTTCCTTATTCACCTTTTCGTTTTCTGTGGCCTTTTCCTTGTATTTGTTTTCACAAATATACTGTATTAGAGCTGTGTATTCCCCTGTCTCCATGTTGCACCTTCCTGCTGTGTGGCACATGCCCGCTTGTTAACTTGGTTTTCATCTTGATGTAACATGTTTCATGTGTATTTAAGTATAGAGAGATCCCGATGTTGACAAGTTGGGCGAGTCCATTTTGCATTCAATAATGGCTCACGGTATTTGTTCCTGTTGGATGGAACATTTGCGTGTGTCAGCGAGAATTATTATTCGTGTCATCCGTTCACTATTTCACGGCATTTTATTCAAACGGAACTTTTACTACTCGAACTAAATCATGTTTACACTTGCTGCCTGAAGGCTTTAAAATCTACAGGCCCTGAATGAAATCTGCAGGCCCATTTTGTTAAAGTCAAACCAATAAAACACAATAGACTACACTGTATACCGTTTCACACCATTTCTACAAAATCAATTAGCCAAAACCTATGGCACAGAGAGATGTTTTTATTTGTTAAAGACTGGTGTTGACATTCCTATGTGCTTTATTTTAGCACAGAAATACCAGAGAGTGAAACTGTAAGTTATCGTGAACATGATTGATCATGGATGATTCCCAAAGCGTTAAAAGTAAAAAAATGGAAAAGGTTCCAGTTGAAAATAAGAGACAGATAATTAACTGAAGTCCACAAGGGCCTGCAAATATTTGAAACTGCTGAACCGATACAATAACAACCGGGCACTGGGCCTCCGGCTGCAATCCTGTTAGTATACAGTGAAAGCTGTCAAAACCAGCAGCTGTCTAATCCAGCAAGTTGTCAACACCGGGTCATAAAATCTCAGTCCTGTCCCAGGTTAATACATTTATCATCATTTAGAAGCCCTGCAATCCGGCAGCTGTCAATTCTCGCATCTCGGCATGCAATGAGCAGCCAGAATATGTGTTTATAACAGTAATCAGTGCTGTCTAATCTGGCATCGAGAAATGAGCTCTAATCGAATGTGTATTGTCACCAATTAATCCTGCCTTGAAACTACATGGTTGCCGACAAAGATAATTTAATCTTAGTTCAGTATGGGTTTACTTTGTACATGTAACTACTGAGTTGAGTTGATGTGTGCAGTAAACATGCTCACAGTGTAATGCTTTCCGCTCTTCTTCTTCGCATAGAGTAATAGAAGTCTATTTATTTTGATTTCTCTAAGATTGATTTTAGCAATCTTAAGTTGGTCATGAGCAACTTAGACATTGGATCTTACTTCTACGATTGACTTGGGTAAGATTGGGTAGTGGAGCGGTATGCGATCGTAACGTCATGCTAAGATTGAGATTTTAGGGTTTTACGATTCAGTAGAGCTAAGATCGGTTATTGGAATGGCACCAACACCATTCCTCTTATCACACACTCACCAGGTGAGACCCGTCTGGTCAGCCACATCAAACAACTGGGGGTTGTACACCCATCTGGGACCAACATCTTCTCCTCGCTTAGGACTGTGCCGACATCAAAACTGTAACAAAAATACAATACTGGACATCAGGAGACCATCTCCATCATAATGATTCAAGGATACAAAAGGCTTGTTCATTACTCTTGAAACCCCGCTTTTCGGCAATATTCCAGCTGCACCCCTCTGTAAATAATCAAATCTGGACCAGACAATCCAGTGATCAACAGCATGAGCATTAATCAACGCAGTTGTGATACCATGACATGTGTCAACCAAGTCAGCCAGAGCCTGACAGCCTGATCCTTTCAATTAAGCCTCTCACGACAAGCATGGATTGGTGAAAACCAGTTCTAATCCAGATCTTCACGGGTGATATGTAAACTGCAGTCATGCACCATTGAACCATAACATGCACAAATAACAAAAATGTGCAACATTAAATGAATTTATCAAAACTGCAATGAAATCCAATATCTGACAAGAGAGGTCGCTTACGAACAATAACCAGTAGAAGGAATGAATGTGTCTTGTTTACATCACTGTTGCCAAAATTCTTACCACAGTTTTTGAAAATGAAAAACGTTTCTAACGCTTATTTTTTATTGTATTTCATTTTAATTTCAAAACTTTTTTTCTCTGTGAAAAAAATGTTTATTTCAGAGACATTGATGTTAATCTGGGGTGGGTAGCCTAGTGGTTAAAGCGTGCCACACCAAAGGCCCGGTTCGATTCCCCACATGGATACAATTTGTGAAGCCCATTCAGAGGTGGAAATAACTTTAAAATTGCTAGTGTACTCCGGTACAGTGGCACATGTAAAAATCACTCTGCCCTGATCATTTTTCCACTATACCAGCCAGTTTCTTGTTGATTTTTTAAATAAACAACATAATTAACATTGGAATATCAACTGGACACCGGTACAGTGTGACATACAAATTTGCTTGCCCGACAGAAAAACACTGGACTGGAAGGCCGGGCAATGGGTTATTTCCACCCTGCCATTTCTGCTGTCACCTGCCGTGGATATTGCTGGAATATTGCTAAACACGGCGTAAAACCATAACTCCGTCAGTCGGTGATGTTAATCTACCAATATTCCAGCAATATGATTACAATCAAACTTAGATTCCCGAAGTGCATGTGTCCCATCACTTTATTTTGAATGAGTGAGTGAGTGAGTTTGGTGTAATGCCGCTTTTAGCAATATTCATTGTTCATGGTATCACAAAACCTGTGTATTTCACGTTAAATAAGTCTACATTTCATGCGACATTTTCTACCTGCTTGTTCTGGACGCGAAAGCATTTTGTGTTCTGGAAACAAGTAACCAAAAACGAATTTTGCCCAAGGAAACAACAAAATACAATAATGTTTCTCTCAGGAAATTTAACTTGCTAATGATGACAAACAAGCTCTAAAATGGAAGGAAATGACATCTATGTTTCAAAATTGATACATCTTCAGCCCACAAAGGAAGAAAAAGAACCATCATTTGTTTTCTTTTGTTAAAAACCCAATGATTTTAATTGAAAACGGACATTTGACTGCTCAAAACTCACACATTTGTTATCTGGACAGACAGGTCACCACAGTGAAACGATTACTATGTCAATTTCACTGAGATCACTCCATCACAAAACCTCTCATACTTAATCGGGTATTGACGCCTTCTCCAACCATGGACTGAGAAATACGCCTCTTTACTCTGATTACCCGTGAAGATCCAGGTTAGAATTGGTCTTCAGTAACCCATGCTTGTCGAAGAGGTGACTAACGGGATCGAGTGGTAATGCTCGCTGACTTGGTCAACACGTGTCATGGTATCCCAAGTGCACAGATTGATGCTCATGATGTTGATCACTGGATTGTCTTGTCCAGACTAGATTATTTACAGACCAGCGCCATATAGCTGGAATATTGCAAAGTGTGGCATTACACAACAAATAAACCAATAAACCAAATAAACAAAAGTTTTACTCTGAGATGAGACCTCTGTTCAGATCGGATGACCTCTGACAGAACTTTGACAACTCAATTGTCAGAGTTTCACCTAATCAGATGTCATTTCTTTACTACCGTGATTTCAGAAATTCCAACAAAAGGAAACTTACAAACATGCCTTTGATCGGTAGCCATGGAGCATAGTAATAACATCAGCCCTCTATGTTGTAAATTACAGAAAGGCCATTTAACCATTATTAAGTATACAGAGAATATTGAGATTAGGTCTCATTACATATGAATTATACGAACGAGTGTCCTTCCTATGTTATCTGACAGAGCTTAAAGCGAGTCATATACCATAGAAAGGTCACAAGTTTCAGATAATTCGTGTATGTAATGAGACCGGAAAGTGGTTTTTATTTATTACCCAAATTGACAAAATAGCGTGATTTTTGTTATAGTTTTTGGTTTCAAACCCCAAACCAGTTACATAAAGAGGTTTGCGAAGAGTTTGTACTGTAGTATTAACATTTGCATGACGCCACACTGTAATGACGCCACTGCCTTGGTAACCTACATCACGATGCATGTCAGTTGTCATCGCCAGACAGCCTCCTACAGTAAACTACTCCGTGAGCACCCCGCTTCTTGGTTTGCAGTTGCTTCACTTGGGTAACATCACTGGTGGAAAACGTAGAGATCAATTAACACCAACTGTCATTGCAACATATTCTTATTATGTATAAAATCTATATCTATAAAATCATAACTTTGCCTTTCTGGGGCAAATCACTGGCAATTGGTGCCTTTTCATGGCTAAAATTAATTTAGGGACTTGTTGTAAAAGGTCCAAATTTCAGGCTTTTTCATGACTGTGATCATGTGTTTACAAACCTGTTGTTGTTTTCACTGCACGATTTGACTGTTCAGATACAATATGCATATCTTAGCCAGCTTAGTGGACAATAGTGGAAACTTGACTCTTATAGTCAGTTACCTCCCTTGCCTTGGGTAGCTGGTGCTGATCATATAGAAACAATTTCATGATAGAAATGGGTGTACATGTAATCACTCACTGTTTGGGTCTCAGTTTCATGATCGTCACTCCAGTCACCTTGTCACGTGACAGGATGGTGTGTACAAGAGGCGACGCCCCCCTCCATCGCGGCAGCAGGCTTGGATGAACATTCAGGATACCACTGGAAGTCATGAAATCCTCAAATCAGCATTTATCATTTGTCAAAGATGTAAATGGAGGGTGGGTATGTGCAAATGTCATTTTACACATTCTATGCAAAAGGCGACCCGTGAAGGTCCGGGTTAGAATATTGATCTTCAGTAACCCATGCTTGTTGTAAGAGGCGACTAACGGGATCGGGTGGTCAGGCTCGCTGACTTGGTTGACACATGTCATCGGTTCCCAATTGCGCAAAACAATGTTCATGCTGTTGATCACTGGATTGTCAGGTCCACACTTGATTATTTACAGACCGCCGCCATATAGCTGGAATATTGCTGAGTGTGGCGTAATACTAAACTCACTCACTCACTCACTATGCAAAAGGCATAAATGCTACTTCTTGGTGTTGTGTAAACCAGAGGTTGATAGTCTGAACAACAGCACAAATACAGAATAAAGTAATATCCTAAGCAAAATTTCCAGTGGAATTTTTTTCAAGGATAATAATTTCAAATGCAGTATTTTCTCATATGAATATTCTTTCCTCTGGAGGGGGTGGTGGGGTAGCCCAATAGTTAAAGCGTCTGCTCATCACGCTAAAGGCCTGGGTTAGATTTCCCACATTGGCACAAAGTGTGAAGGCCATTTCTGGAGTCCCCAGACGTTATGTTGCTGGAACATTGCTAAAAGCGGCGTAACACCATACTCACTCACTCACTCCAGTGGAATTTTTTTCAAGGATAATACTTTTAAATGCAGTTTCAGGTATATTTTCTATATTTCTGCAAATATTCGTTCCTTTAGAAAATATTAACTCAGAAACATTAATTCTTTACATCTCTGCAGAGGTAAGAATTCCTGGCATGACATACTGTGGAAACATTCTGATGACTTTCCCTGGAACAAGATACCCGAACGACGCCAGCACCCCCACATCGTAGCAACCGGTCAGATCTGGTATTGGCCAGTCACGGATGGAAACACCCACGGTTTCAGCATATGTCTTCACACTGTTCTGAAGAAAAGATCGAATTCTTCACAGATAAATGGTACAGTTCAGTGATTCCAATAATAATAATAATAATAAATGGCTATTTCTTGTGCGCCATAGTCCATCCAGAGCATGCTCAAAGGGCTACATATAAAGGAGTCACTAGAGTTTATAAGGAAAATATGACAGTTCGTCAAAATGGCCATCAAAATATTTGGCAGTTACAGGTTGTAGAATTTTTTGAAGAGTGAGGTTTTGAGTCCCAAATTGAACGCTTCTAAGGATGAAGCATTTTTTTATGGGAGAAGGAAGACTGTTCCACAGGGTTGGTGCGTCAAATTGGAATGATCTAAGGCCAAAGTGTTTGAGATGAACTTGGGGAACTTAGACAAGATCTTGATTCTGGGAGCGGAAAGAACAGGTAGGCACATATGTTGACAACATCTCAGAGAGGTGTGGAGGAGCTAGGCCGTGTCTGCAGCGGAAAACAAGAGTGAGGATCTTGAACTGAATTCTGCCTTCAACCGGCAGCCAATGCAGACTCTGGAGGATTAGGGTTATGTGAGACCATTTGGATGTTCCAATGTTTCCATTGAGTTTGAAAACATATTCCTGTTTCGGGGAATGGGTTATTTCAAATCTCATTAAAATCAGATGGACCAGACAATCCAGTGATTGACATCATGTCTTGACAGGAGGTAACCATCACGGCTCTCGTCTACCTGGGCTTGATATTAGAAGCATCAAACGATAACGCTAACAGGTTTGTTTGGTTGGTTGGTTGTTGTGAAACATTGCACTCAGCAATATTCCAGCTATATGGCAGCAATATTTGTGGAAGCTGCGGTGGCTGAGTGGGTTAGGTGGCTGAGTGGGTTAGGTGGCTGACTTTGTGTGCATGATCAACAACATGAGCATCGAGTGTAACCCCAGCAGCATGATCAACAGCATGAGGAACTGATGACATGTGTCAACCAAGTCAGCAAGCCTGACCACCCGATCCCGTTAGTCGCCTCTTACGACAAGAATGGGTTACTGAAGATCAATTATTCCCAGATCTTCACAGGTTAATGCTGACAGGTTCTCAGCTACCCAAGCGAGTGAGTGAGTGATTGAGTTTAGTTTTACGCCGCAGTTAACAATATTCCAGCTATATGGTGGCGGTCTGTAAATAATCGCGTCTGGACCAGATAATCCAGTGATCAACAGCACGAGCATCGATCTACACAATTGGGATACGATGACATGTGTCAACCAAGTCAGCGAGCCTGACCACCCAATCCCGTTAGTCGCCTCTTACGACAAGCATGGGTTACTGAAGATGAGTTCTAACCCGGAACTTCACAGGTATCAAACATGATATACACAGGTATCAAACATGATATACACAGGTATCAAACATGATATACACAGGTATCAAACATGATATACACAGGTATCAAACATGATATACACAGGTATCAAACATGATATACACAGGTATCAAACATGATATAAGGAGCATCACACAAAGAAGTTGACAGGTATCAGATATAATGCACACCGTATTTCAGTCTCACCTGACCTTTCGTTGACACAACATCCAGAGTCTCCACCAGTGTGTCACTGCATGCTGACCTGCAGAGAGACACAACAAGCGTGACTATATCTCAGAAACTTGTATGCAATCAAATTACTTACACCAGGAAAAATGAGTTAAAATATTTTCATTAATTCTCACTTTGACTCAATAAGGGACATTTTAGGGGAGAAACATAACCGCTAAGGGACACTATGAAGATTGTGCTATTTCCTAGCCAACTGGGAAATACAAGAGAATCTGTATAAGCTTCTTCTTGAGTGAGTGAGTTTAGTTTTACATCACTTTTAGCAACATTCCAGCAACATTCCGGCAACATTCCAGCAATATCATAGCGAGAACTGGGCTTCACACAATGTACCCATGTAGGGAAATGAACCCGGGGATTTGGCGTTACGAGCAAACAGTTTAACCACTATGGGACCCCACCACCCTACTTGTTCTTGAAAGGTTTCTGGTTTTATTCCTGTTATTTTTTGTAATGCATCGTGTGTATTGTGATACAGGGGATGTAAAATGATGCATCGTTAGCCTCATACTGAGATACAATACTGACTGACTGACTGAGTTTGGTTTTACGCCGCTTTTAGCAATATTCCAGCAACATCATGGCGGGGAACATCAGAAATGGGCTTCACACATTGTACCCATGTGGGGATTCGAACCCAGGTCTTCGGCGTGACGAGCCAACGCTTTAACCATTAGGCTACCCCACCGCCCCCTGAGATACAATAAAGTTCTGATGTATCATTACACACATTCTTTTCCCACAGAGGTTATTCCTGTCATATCTTCCTATGAACCTCTGTTCTAATACGGCCCTTTCATGGTGCGAGTGTTCTGGATTCGTGAAAACTAGAACCTCTTTCCCTGTGCGATGCGCAAACGTTTCTTTTAGACAGAACTCAGTCATGTAATGGCGGATCAATGGCGTCTCCATCACCATCGTTGACAACGGACAAGCTAGCTATTAAACGTCTTGTGTGTAACATCAACACAAGTCCCCGGCAGAGGAGGGATATTTGTGGCCCCATATTTGCTTGTATTAGTCAAGCTGGATCTAAGTCGATGTAAAACGTGTTCTGATTGGATAGAAAGAAGGGAGATCATTTTTTTGCCGCTAAGGGATTTTACGAGAACCAGAAAATATGGCCGTATCAGAACACACGTTCGTAGGAAGATATGACAAGTAACCTCTGTGGGAAGAGAATGCATTACACCACCAGTCAGCCTGAAGGGATTTTTCTAGATCCACTCGAGGATCAATATTCAGTAGCATGCAAGTAACAAATGTCAACAAAACTTTCTGCAATAAACTGACCCACACCTGTTTTCCTGAAGAGCCTGTAGAATTTTCACAGAAAAAACATCACTCCCAAAAAACAGAATCCGCCATGGAGGTGTGCCTCGCTTCTCAGTACAGTATCCCCTCGACTGACAGTGTTGTTGAGTGGAAATGGTGCTGAGAAAAAGTCTGTGATAGTCACAAAGGTTATGTTTGTTTCTCCCAGATATGCTATATTCTCCTGCTCTGGGCCGCCTGCATTGCTTCAGTTTCCCATACTGGCAGGATACTCGTGGTACAGAGTTCAGATTAGATAGGTTTGATTGTGATGCTATCTTAGTGATGGTTCTTTTCAAACTGTGTAGGTATAAACCAAGTTGTTGATGTACAGCCCTGCTGTGATGAAGATGGTATAGGCATTTGTACTGAGTGTACATCATGTTCCAACCCTCTGTGAAATCAGGTTCCTTGTTCCTTTATTGTCCTGTAATAGAAAGTCATCAATTATGTAGGGCTGCGCAATATAACCGGTTTACCGGTATTTACCGGTTTTAACATGAAATCGATACGTATTGCGATACGCTGATCGAAAACCGGTATTTCGACATGCATTCGGGAAACTTCGTAACACTCGGAAGTCTTCGGATATTTCCCTTTTCCCACCGGAAGCTAAGTTAAGTTCGGTTTGAAGTTGTGTTCTTAAGTTTTGTTCCCAATGTTCTAGATCTGAATGTTTTAAATATTTACTCATTAATAACCTGTGATCTCTGAGAGTGGAGAGTGGAAAAACTAGTTCAAACTAGTAACCACTGTGTTGATTGTTCTTTTCCTTGTTTCATTTGTGCCAAATATTATTTATTTTGTCATGATTAAAAATGTTTATTAAAGCTTAATCAAGCATAGTAATTTGTTGTGTTTTTGCTATATGAACATGATGAATCAAGCATTAATTCGATTATAAGTAGTTTTTTGACAAAAATAATTCTTGCAATATATTGCAATACATATCGCAATATATGCTTTCGCATCGCAATATATCGCAATATGAAAATTCTCTGCAATACCGACCCCTACAATTATGTAATCTGACATGTGGGGCTGTAGTCATGGGAATGACAGACACAAATCACAATAAAGTGACAGTATCCAAGTTTTCTACTTTGGTGAATCTGTATATCATCATCTGAAAGTAACAAAATAGGGAGTATAGGTACTGAAAATCCATTTCACTCCAAAATGACATTTTATTACAATCTTTTCCGCAACAGTCAATATATGAAACATCAATTACGAATTATATTTTTGTTTCTTGTTTAATAATCAGTCAATCAGTCTGTCAGTCATTCAGCAGTTGTGATTGACTTTTATCAAATGTAACATATGATATATTTGGAATTACACTTTCTTAGTAAAGTACAGATTCTAGTTCTTTTGTTAGGTTGAGTCCAATCCGGGATGCGAACCCACACCCTCAGAGTCAGGCACCTAAATGGTAGTGGTGGGAATCGGTTGAAATTTCATAATCGATTATCGGTTGCAATCGGATTGTCTAATCCGATCAATGATTGATTGTACAATCGGTTACACTAATTAAGAATTAAATATTTTTTTACAACTTGTGCAATTCCCAGGTAAACATTTGAACTCTTTTACAATACTGCAATACTGTATGTGGTTGGTTTCTGTGAAAAACGTGACTTGAGGGTGCATCTACAAGAACTTAAAAACTCCTGAATATAATATTTTTCATAAGTTATAATTGTCAACTGAGGCAAGATTGTACAAAATTACAAACAACCCAAGTCTACATTGATCAACAAAAAAATGTGTATAAAAATAAATACTGACAGACTACCAAGATATAAAAAATATGACTGTTCAATTCACACTTTTGCAGATTTTACACAATCACAACAAATCCTCACAATTTTTCCCGAATTTTGACCCACTTTTTACACTAATGTACCGTATATTACCGTAGATAAGCCGAATTTTGAGGACCAAAATTAGCAGTCTATAGAATGACGTCGGCTTATCTATGGGTTACATTTTCATAAAACTTTTTCCGGGGATAAGAAAATGACATTGTATCGCTTACATGACCAGAGAGACAAGAGAAGACGACCTTGCAACTAAACATCACTAGACAAGATTATTTACCTTTTCAGTTCTAATTTGTTTTGCTAGGCATTGTATTATATGCAGGGATTAAGATTACCATGTGTATTTGTCTCTATGTAAAGCCGGAAATAGCAATCAGCCATGCACATGTTTCCCAGTGATCTAGTTAAAACATACCCAATAATATAACAGGATGAATTCTGCCGCAGTGATCAGTAAAATATAATACCTAAAACTATTATTTTACCAAGAGAAATATATCCCAGCATTGTATAGTTTTACTTACAGGTTTTGCTCTATAAATGTAAAATATGTATAATCAATACTAAGGTTATACGGACCCTCACAGACATGGTAAGTGGAAGTTGAACGCGCATGGAATGAGGTGAAATAAGGCTGCCATTTCACACACGTTTTACTGATGTTACTGGATGATGAGGTGGTAATCAGTTCGAGATTGTTGAGAATAATCTGAAACTGAAATTGGTGCTATCGCGGTTGAAGCAAAAAGTGTACCCTCATGAACATGGTAGGCGAAAGTTGTACGCGCATGAAATGAGGTGAAATACACATGCCAGTTTGTTGTGATCGCCAGCTACAATAAATATGACATTACGCAAAACAAAATATATATGTGTATCCATTTTCTGTTAACTACACTTCATTTCGAGGCGTGAGTAGACGCAGTATGATTGTGATTTCTGTGAATAATGCAGATAGAAGTTATAATTATTGGTGACTGCCCATTGTCTTGTGGTCTGAGTTGGGTAGTCATTACTGTTTTTCTAAGAATTATTAGAAAAAGGGTAACCAATCAATTATCGATTATAACCGATCATCGGAACACCACTACTAAATAGCATTGTGTAATCACAGCTTTCGGACGTGGAGCCGTGCCAATTTACGCTTATCAGAGAGGTACACAAACTCTGCAGTCTACACTACCTGTTGTCCGACTTTCATTTTTGTGGAAGCCGCGGTGGCTGAGCGGTCTAGGCGAAATTTGTGTGCGGGCGATTAGGTGCCTGACACTGAGGGTGTGGGTTTGAATCCCAGATTGGACTCAACCCAACAAAAGTACTAGAATCTATACTTACTAAGAAAGTGTAATCCCAAATATAACATATGTTACATTTGACCACTTTCTAAATGGCATTGTGTAATCAATTTATCAAATGTGTTGTTGTGTTTCACAATGTTTATTTGCTTACAATACTGACAGATTGTAAGCGACAGCTTGGCTAATTTATTTCATTTGCCTGTCTGACAAGATAGTATAACCATCTGTATGATATTTCTGAGTTGTTTAAATTGTAATGCAGGTATTAATATTTCCATTGGCCTTCATGTACGCTTTTCTTCGTTTCTAGCTAAAATGTCAAGAAATGATTGATTTAGTTATAATGTAATTTAAATGAGGTGTAATACTTGACACTTAGCTAAAGTTATCCCAGCTGATAGGCGCGATGCAGTACCACAGTCAAGATATGATGCAGGGTCATGTCTTGACTGTACGACCCCATCGTGGCTCTCGGCCTATGTTGTGTGTTTCGTCTACGACGAGAATGCCTTGACGATTGATGCAAGGTGTCCTCAAGATAATCAACACATATTAAATAACGTTAAGCATTCACAGATAAACGCACTACTGTCATATGAATTTAAGTGAACAGGTAAAACTTCCAGCAGACCGATTGGTTTGTTGTCCCATGTGGATGTCCTCCGTATAACGACAGAGGTGTCGCTGAGGTGAAATCATCTCACAGAAAAGCAATGTTGGAAGCTTTCATCGTAAAGGTCAGGGTTGCCCGAGCTCCTCACAGCGGGAATGCTAGTGAGAGAGGTAGGACTGAGAGTGGTGGCGCTGTGGAGGAGCTACATGGATACTGTTATCTCGATACATGCGATTGTAACCCTGAACTGGGGCAACCTAACCCAAACTTAATCATGAATGCAAGGAGAAAAAACATAAAGGCGAAGGTAAACAACACGCAAGGACAGGAGTGACACGTACAAGCATCGACTGACACAAACTTCTTGGGCTTCCGATTCTTGCAGTCACAGAGTATGTTTCTTGCGGTCGGCTACATTTCATTGGTTCAGTGGTATCGACGATGTCGAAGGCGTGTCGCCCTCATGTCGGCAATCCGCCATGTTTTACGTAATAGCAGCATCGTAGTAAGCAGATCAGCAGCAGCATCACGTATGTCGGAGTTTGCCATGCCAATAGGAGTTCGAACCGTGGTGTATGATGAAGATAACATTTTGCTTTCGTCGGTGACTCCAAAGAATACAGTGAACCTGGCAACATGGAGTCGGTTTGGAGACACTAATCTCACGGGATCGTATGAGTTACATGTTTTACTGGAAGGAAATAAGTCTACAGAAGTTCCAGAACTTCGTCACCATTGGATCTTAAAACATTGCCAACCAATAGCATGGAGGCATGGGGTACACACTGGCATTCTGGTAGGATGTACTGTTGATGATTTCATTGCCATGTGTACAGTGTTAAGTGATGAAGCTCTGAAAGAACAAGAAGGGTTCGATCTTCTAACTATGCAGACCGTTGAAACAGAAAACATTTCGGGAGAGAGACGGTGGAACCAACGTTGCTGATCCTGTTGATGTTCAGAAGCCTCATCGAAAGTCGGATCAGTCAGATCAGTCCAGTCGAACTGATATTCCAGCAAGTCTTCAAGAATCTAAATCTGAAGTAACAGATGGAGAAAAAATAGTAAAAGCTAAGAGCCCCAAACCACCCAATATTTTAATCTACTGCGGAAAGCATGACTCTGTTCGACATTTTAAAAGTGTCTCTGATGTTATCAATGATTGTGTGAACACAGACTCGTACACTGTCTACCATTTGCAACATGACCAAGTAACAACCACACCCTGGGTAGAAAACACTGTTTTGCTTGTCATAACTACAGAACGCCTTTATGATGGAGTGAATGATATTTTCTTTGATTATTTCAATAAAGGAGGGTCGGTGATGAGTTTTGGAAGCATGTTTGAAACCAAGTTCCTTCAAAGAGAGGAAGCTTTGCCCAGAGTTGGTTTGTCTGTCTTCAGTATGAGTGAGAAATGGAAAGATGTGAAGTGCCTCCGGGGAAGATACAATTACAAGGATGATGTCAGCATGATGACGGAAATGTCTGTCGAGGTGTTGGCTCGGGAAAATCAAGAAAAGAAGCCAGTAATGATTGGAATCTCTACTCATGGGTCAACTGCAGGCAAAGCTGTTCTCTCGCAGCTGTACCTTGAAAGGGATCCTTCCGAAGCCACCATGGATCCAGATACATTTGACCAGCTGAAGTGCGACAATTCGGTTCGTATTGAAATCTTACAATACCTTTACAAATGGCTTGGGCTGGACTGTTCTCAGCAAGGGATTCCGCCACTCACACCAGCTTCTCTCCTGACAAACTCTCAAACAACAAAGGACTTGTTTCTTTCATCTTTACAGCATCGACTAAAGGGAAGGTGCTTGACCTCGAGGTCAGTGAATCTGGAGTTCGTCGCTACAGATGTTCACAATGTTACAGTGAGTGGTTCTCATCTGCCCGTAATAACCTCAGGATCTCAGAAACACAAATACTTCAACGAAGAAGTGTACTGGAAAAATTTGAAAACATCCTGTCTTGGCCAAATTGTTGTTTACGCTGACATAATTCCCACAACAATGGCCCTGTTTGAAGGACTGCAGTTTTGTGTCCCGGAGAGTGTTGGGGTTGTGGCTATCGCAGGCAGACAGACCAGCGGGAAGGGCCGAGGTGGAAACGCATGGCTGAGTCCAGAAGGTTGTGGCATGTTTAGCCTCCACGTCCGTGTTCCAACCAATAGTCAGTTGGGACAGAGAGTGACCTTCCTGCAACACATCACATCACTGTCTGTGGTCAACAGCATCAAGTCCATGACAGGGTACCAGAACCTTGACCTGAAACTGAAATGGCCGAATGACATCTACTACAGCAATAAGATGAAGCTGGGGGGCGTCATCGTCACGTCTACGATGATGGGATCCACGTTTCATGCGGTTATTGGATGCGGGTTTAATGTTGCCAACAGCAACCCCACCATCTGTATCAACGACATCATACAGCAGTATAATAAAGTTCACGGGACTGATTTACCGTCCTGCTCGACTGACCAGCTTATTGCAAGGACTGTGACCCACATTGAGAGACTCATCACGGAGTTCCAGACTCACGGACATCGTCAGTTCTGTGAGAAGTACTACAAGAGCTGGCTTCACACTGGGGTGCGTGTGACCGTCGAGAGTGAGGGCAATCAGGAGGTGACCATTATTGGGATGGATAACTTTGGTTACTTGGAGGTGGAGACGGACAGTGGTCGTGAGGTTCAGTGTCCAGCCCGATGGCAACACATTCGACATGATGCTAACCTTATCTCTATTAAACCACGCTTAAGATGAGTCCCAGTGAACTACCCAGGTACCTACCCATATTACCTGTCCCTGCCCAGGTCCTGACCTGTATTATCCTACTCATATTCCCCAACCCTGCCCAGGTACTCCAACCCATACCCATATAGTCCCCTAAACCCAGGTACTACCCAATCCCCCAACCCTGCCCAGGGACCCAACCCATATTCCCCAACCCTGCCCAGGTACCCACCCATAGTCCCCAACCCTACCCAGGTACCCAATCCATATTACCCAACCCTGCCCTAGGGACCCAACCCATATTACCCAACCCTGCCCAGGGACCCAACCCATATAACCCTACCCAGGTACTCCAACCCATATTACCAAACCCTGCCCAGGTACCCAACCCATTTTACCCAACCCTGCCCAGGGACCTAATGTAGTTCGGGGAGTAATAGGGTACCCTTGTAGTTAAAGTGTTTGTTCGTGAAACCGAAGACCCAAGATCGATTCCCCACATGTACAATGTGGGTATCCCACTTCAGGTGTCCCCTGCTGTTATCTTGCCTTCAATAATTATTGAGATCAGCCCAAATAGGGGAGTCGCCTTATGCATGGGGTAGATGGTATCAAACTGTTTTTTATCTATCTTTAAAATGGGTGCTTCGTATTGTTACCCCAAAAGTCTTAATATTTCCCCTGCTCGACTTAATCTTTTCGGGGGGGAAATCTGAAAAGTAACCCCCAAAGAGAGGCTTTATTGCATTTTTCTATTTTCTGAATCCCCAGGATTATTTTGTGAATCAAATTGTCAGTGATACTGTTCATTCAGTGTGTCTGTCAGTTCACGTGTCAAGTTAACTGTTTTTACTGGCTTCAGAGTCAAACACAAACCTTGATGTGTCAAACTTACGGTTGTCACAAAGTAAAGGCCCGTGAAGATCCGGGTTGGAAATGATCTACTGTAACCCATGCTTGTCGCGAGAGGCGACTGACGTGATCGGGTGGTCAGGCTCGATGACTTGGTTGACATGTGTCAACGTATCTCGATATGATTGATGCTCATGCTGTTGATCACTGGATCATCTGGTCCAGACTTGATTATTTACAGACCGCTGTAATATAGCTAGAATATTGCTTAGTGCTGTGTAAAACTAAACTCACTCACTCACTGACCCATGCATGTTATACCCATGAAGATCCGGGTTAGAATTCATCTTCAGTAACCGATGCTTGTCGTAAGAGGCAACTAATAGTATCGGGTAGTCAGGCTCTCTGACTTGGTTGACACATGTCATCGTATCTCGATATGATCGATGCTCATGCTGTTGATCACTAGATTGTATGGTCCAGACACGATTATTTACAGACCGCCGCCATAACGCTGGAATATTGCTGAGTGCAGCATAAACTACACGATTTTTTATGGAGAAGCATTTACAATGTGTAAGACACACACACCCCACCACACACCCCCAATATATATACAAAGTAAGTGACTGCATGTCATGTATAAATCAATTACCCCCCCCCCATTCCATAATTTTAACAAAATTGCTGACATCCCCCACCCCCTCAGAACAAAATGGGGTGACACCCCCACACCACACCACACACACCCCTCTCAAAATCATCATCACCACCCCTAGCTATAAATTAAGTACGGTCTCTAAAGTTTGTTCAGTATTGTACGTCCAACTTCTAAAATGCCACTCAAAGAATTTATGTTTGCCTGTAATAAACTAGGTGGCTGTTCTTCTGGATGATCAAGGGCTTATTTTTACCATGCCATTGCGACTTAACCATGTTGTTTCCATTGTAAGACATAGGTGTTTTAACCCAATACATAGAAATCTGTCTAAACCAGGAATGTTTGAGACATTGTTTGTGGCTGTTTCAAACGGCAGCCAGATATGGCTGAAATGTGATTCTTGCAGAGTTACTTCCCTTGGCATCTCATGCAGCATGAATGATCAAGCTTAAGGCATGGGTGTGTGTATCTAAATAACAGACCCACCACACAATGTTAAACAATAGTCTGGATACAGCTGATGTATATACAGCTCAAGAGTTGGTAGGGATATTCAAAGTGTGTGGTAGCGGTGCCGCGTATGAGTGATTGTTGAATAATGCCATGTGCAGCTTCAGTTCAGAATAAACAATAGTATTTACTTATATACGGTGTTGTTTTCTGACTTGTGTTAAATTAAGAGCTGGCACAGCATTCCCATCAGGAGAAGAGGTGTTCAGACTCACGCATTTGTTCTTTTGTTGTTATTTCTGGCGTCCCCCCGCCATGATATTGCTGGAATATTGCTAACAGCAGCGTAAAACCCAACTCACTCACTCACTCTTTTGTTGTTTAGAGAGAGAAGTGAACCTTGTTTGCAAGATTAGCTTCTTCCCAATTAGTGTCTCAAAACAAACATTTGCGGTTTAACATTGTGAAACCTACTGCAATGATACATAAATCTTCTCAATGTTGGACTTACACCTCCACCAGTGTTTACATTTTGCAGTCAGGATGCAGACCAAACCACCAAGACTGAAAACCTCATTTACTTAACCATGTTTTGCAACCAGAATGGGTTCTGCACCAATTCAAACCTGGAATACCCGTGAAGATCTGGGTTAGAATATTGGCCTTCAGTAACCCAAGAGGCGACTAACGGGATCGGGTGGTCAGGCTCGCTGGCTTGGTTGTCACATGTCATCGGTTCCCAAATATGCAGGTCGATGCTCATGCAGTTCATCACTGGATTGTCTGGTCCAGACTCGATTATTTACAGACTGCCGCCATATAGCTGGAATATTGCGGAGTGCGGCGTAAAACTAAACTCACTCTCTCACTGGAATCCAAGAACTGGAAAAAGTATGTACACATGCACACTATGGATTTTATTATTCACTCAAATATTCGAACCATATCCTTTTATGAATTTGGTTCATTATTTGCCTTCACTCGAATTGAATATTCATGAAATTTATAAAAGGATTTTTTTTCTCATTCATTGGTGTTGTTAGCACAGCAAGATATGCATATTGGAATGATCCAAGTCATTAGAACTGAATATAATTACTCACCCGTTGAAAATATCACACTTTAGAGATAAACATCATCACAAATATTTCATTTGAAACCTCAGGCTGACGCCGTAGGTTATTGAGTATTCAAATACTCAATAACACCCGAAATTGGCAAACACATGATGTTTATCAACATTATAAACACAAAAGTAAAACCAAAAGGTCCACACACACTTTTGTGTCTGCACTCATTGACATCGAAAGTACGCAGTACAGCAGTGAAATGTCATCAGCCGCCGCTTCGGCTGTGTCCCATGGTACCATCTGAACTGCTCATTTGTGACGCCATTCACTTTTACGCCACAATATGATTTGAATGACGTCATCACAGCTGACGACGTAACAATACAATGGTGTGAGCGATGTTTGTATGCATTAATACTCAGCTACCGGGAATCGAATACCATTTGATCAATTTTTCAACCAATCAGATTAAAGAACACAGTGACTTTTGGTTTACAATGTGTAATAACATCGTATGAAGCCGTACATATGACATCAAAGTGGTTTACAGTTATGATGTCACAATGCTAATTCCTCTGTAACAAAAGTATTCGACCTTGCTTGAAAACTGAGAGACATCACACTCGTTGAATTCTTAGGAAAGAAGTACTTTGCTCGATATTACTTTGCAAATGTTGGGTGAGTAATAAATAAAATACTAAACTCTATCCATGTAATACCATATTTATGGTCGTTAGATATCAAACCATTCACTCGTTTCATAAATATGGTATTACATGGGACATCATTTAGTATTATCTATTTCATGAATTTCAAGGTTCATAAGGGCATACAATGCACATATATGATTAATTTGTTGTTTTTGAGTATCCAGTTCTTGGGTATTTTATTTATATGATATATGTACCGGTGAGGTATGAATAAAAGCAAAGTTTTGCTTGTTTACCAAACCAGATTCTTTGGGAATAAAAATATGTTTAAACCATACACATTGCTACATATGAGCGATAATCTGCAATGTGATGTTGGCCCCCATTTCACCTCACCTAACCTCACCTTACCTCACCTCATGCTTGTCGTAAGAGGCGACTAACGGGATCGGGTGGTCAGGCTCACTGACTTGGTTGCGACATGTCATCGGTTCAGATCGATGTTCATGCTGTGATCACTGGATTGTCTGGTCCAGACTCGATTATTTACAGACACCCGCCATATAGCTGGAATATTGCTCAGTGCGGCATAAAACTAAACTCACTCACTCACCTCACCTAATCTCACCATAGACACTTTATCATATTTTCAGTTCCTGAACCATGTTCCACAAAATGATTGTACCATACGCTGATCATAACTTCCATACTTTATTTTACACTTACGACTGTCATCTTGCTACAGTCACCATTTGGTCATATTTAGACTGTGACCTGAGCATCATATTTTTCCTTCTATGATTAGTGAGTGAGTTAAGTTTAGCAATAGTCCAGCAATATCATGATGGAAGGCACCTGAAATGGGCTTCACACACTGTACCCATGTGGGGAATTGAACCCGTATCTTCAGTGTGACAAGCGAACGCTTTAACCACTTGGCTACCCCTCCTTCTATGTTTAAGGCTTGTTAACCAATGTAGTGTCGCCATAAGCAAACTGTGTATAAACATCATAAACTAATAAAATCATCAGTTTGTGTAAAAGGAATATGATCCTGATGATATGGACTTAAAATTTGTTTACAGTTTTATAATAAAAATATTGCTTACCAAACATACCTCATTTCGAAATACATGTTATGAGAAACACAATTCCTTACACAAACTTGGTTGTTTATGTGATGTCATTTTATAATTCATTCCATGAGTTGTAGAAGGTAAATAAAAACACTGGATATACACAACAGTTTCACAATCTTCATTTCCACTTGACACTTGACATAATTATACAATAGCTCCAAAAGGAATTGTTTCGATATTGTTATTATTTTAATAATAACATATTCAGTATGAAGACCATATCTACCTGTTATATATCCAGTCATTCATGTGTTTGTTCAGCAACACACACAGCACTACTCCAGCTCCAGACGGAGGTCCAGAAATATTTGAGTGTGAACCAGACAACCCAATGGCTAACATGATTGGTTGTTGTTTAACGCCGCACTCAGCAGTATTCCAGCTACATGGCGGTCTGCTGACATTAGTATTATAGAACAAACTTTATGGATAACAACTTCTTTTATTCGTGAGTGCGACGTTTCGATAATGCTTGACAACGGTACAAGAATCTGTATTGAAACGTCGCACTCACGAATAAAAAGAAGTTGTTATCCATAAAGTTTGTTCTATATTGTACTTCCCAACTTCTAAAATGCCACTCAAAGAAGACATTAGCATTGTTCTCCACTCTTGTTACTCGTCTCTTACGACCAGCATGGATGGCCGAGGGCCAATCTTAAACTGGATCTTTTCGGAGCCTATCACGTGACCTTCTTATACGCCTTGCTAGATATACTCTATAGTTTCAATGGGCACAGTCTCAGTCTCCTGTATAAACACAATCTCCATCTGTTTTGGCGTACAGCTCTTTACATGATCCTTGAATTCCTTCCTGGAGGCAAACAGGCCCTCACACTGAGTGCAAGAGTACTTGTACACCACAGGCTGGTTGTGCATCTTCACATGGTGGCTGAGGGCAGAGTTGGAGGTGAAGCCCTTGCCACACAGGTTACACAAGAACGGACGCTCACCGGTATGCAGCCGCTCATGCATGCGCAGATCAGCCTGGCGTGCAAAGCCCTTGGTGCACTTGGAGCAGATGTGATGCTTACCCTCGTTCTGCAACTTCATGTGACGGACAAAGTTGCTCTTGCTCTTGATCTGTTTGCCGCAGTCTTCACAGTTGTAGGTCAAGGTTGCTGGTTTATGACTGGTGGTGTTTCTCTTCATGCCGCGGCGGTAGGTGTTTTTGTGTATCTGTTGGTGGTTACGGAGACTGATGTGTTTGATGAACACCTTCCCACAGATTTCGCACTTGAGGCTTCCGTCCAGCCTCTCGCTCTTATGGGTTTTCACATGATTGCGGAAGGAGTTGAAAGAGGTGAAGGCTCGTTTACAGAAAGGACAAACTTTCCTGAACTTTGACTCCTTGTTGGCGTCAGAGTTTCCAACATTGCTGTGTTGTCGTCTCTGGTGAACACGTAGATCGTCACTGCGCAGGAAACTCTTCCCACATTCCTGACACAGCCATGGGCGTTCATTCGTGTGAATGAGTTTGTGTCGAACAAGGTGCCGAGGCCCGGACAACACGAGACCACATACGTCACATGTCACATTTGACTTGTCCGTGGGTTTAAACAGACTGGATTTGTCTCTGGGTTTATCAATGTCAACTTTCTCACTAGTAGCCTCATCACTCTCATGACACAACACGTGTGTGTATCTGCTCTGGTATGTCTTGAACTGTTCCTTACACAGATGACACGGATACTTTCCCGATTTCGTTCTCGGCAGGAACTTCCTCCGCTCCTGTTTAGGCTTGTTAACAACAACGGCCTGATGTGACATCCGATGTTTCACGAGTTCGTCCCGGCGCGCATACTTCTTGCTGCACATATCACAGGAGAAAGGCTTTTCTCTGTAGTGAGCCTTCACATGCCTGGTGAGCAGGTTGACATTGACGAACTTGTAGCCACACAGACCACACACGCATGTGAGGCCCTCTCGACCCTCGTCTCCCGACTCTCTGTCCCAGCATTCCTCTGATGCTGCCCTGTCACATGTATGCTCCATCATAGGCAATTCTGAGTTCTGTTTCTTCAGTGAGAATGAGGACATGAATGATTCACGACAAGCTGCGCAATCTCCAGGCTGCTTTACGTCATCTGAACATTCATTGGCACCTGATGTGGTTTCAGTAGAGGTGGGGTTCTCGATGCATGAATCCCCATCGGGAGGAGGTTTTGTACTCTTACTGGAATCTACATTTATGTCCTCTTGATTTCTTTTTGAAGAAGTCCCAACACTTGTCTGGTTTTGACTTGATCCACTATCACCATGTTCCACACTGCTCTTAACATTAGACATGGTGACTATAGTCTTTCCGTCTTTAGTGCTGGTCTTTGTGTCAATGTTGACAATGTCCTCTTTATTAGTCTCTTCCTCTTTATTGCTGGTGTCAGTGTTGATGAGGTCTTCCACGTCAACCTCCACCGTAGCCAGCACCTCTTTGAGATCCCCACCCCGTTCCAGGGCCAAGATGGCTGCCGATGCTTCCCCGCTCAACCCCGAACTCACCCCTGTGCTGGCCAGCTGCCTCCTCACCTCCGTGTCCCCAGTCAACAGCGACAAAGTCCTCTTGATGCGGTCGTCTTTCTCATGCCCCAACAGATGCATGTGGAGATCCACGTTGCTGTCGAAGCCCTTTGAGCACAGCCCACATTGGTAGGCGTTGGTTCCATGTTCCGTGTCTATGTGCTGTCGCAGCTCCTCCCACGGCTGTAGACTACGGCAGATGTTGCATTTCACAAACTCTCGATCTGGCTCGCCATTCTCCTCTACACCCTCAGCAGCATCTCCAACAGCAGCAACATCAGCTTTGGCTTTCATCTTCTTCACAGTTCCTCTGGGTTTCTTTTGCCTGAGGAGAGAGGCAACAATTTTTGAAACTCCTTCATAGCTGTTGAGGAGAGACTTACGAACTGGCTTAGCAGGTGTCCAATCTAAATCCTTTGTCTTCCTCTTCTTCCTGACAGGTTCTTCTATTATTTCATCATCATTAGAAATACCATCATCATTATCATCATTATCATCATCATCATCAACATCATCTTCATGAGGGACATCGGCTGAAGTTGATGCAATTTCAAGCTCAGACTGCAAATCTTTTCCAGGACTTGGAGGCAAAGTTGGCGACAGTTTGACAGACTTGAATACTGCTGGAGCACCTGCTGGGGTCTTGATCACTCTACCATCTGGAGTACACTTCAACACTGGGACACTTACAGCCTTCTGCAGAACACTGGGACATGTCATCCTGTCTCCAGCTGGACCTACCAGATGTGGCCTTATCCCTGCATGCTGGGGTGACTTCATCTGCATCAGTGCCTCAACAGCAGTCAGGTCGCCATCAGTGTTCAGCAACATCGACGACGTCATTGTTTCACTGAAGTCCTGTAATTTGGAGGTGGGAGAAGCCTGAGTTGACATCTTTACTGGAGTGTCCGTGGCTCCATTGATATTGCCCATGGCAACACTTGCTCCTTTGATGGTGTCAATGGCAACACTTGCCCCACTGATGGTGTCCATGGCAACATTAGCTCCATTGGTCTTGTCCATGGCAGCAGCTGCTCCAGGGGTGGTGTCGATACCGACACCTGTTCCAGGGATGGTGTCCGGTGCAACACCTGTTTGAGGGATAGTGTCGCTCACAATAACTGCAGTACTGTCCCCGGTGACTGACAGTTTAAGGTTAGACTTGTCAGGATATATGGGAACAAGGATGCCTGTTGTCTCGTCCAAGGTGAAGGACACAACCTTGACATTGAGATTGTCGGCTTGTCCAGGAAGAACACTGGAACAGAAAGAAGAACAAAACATATGAGCATGCCAAGAAATCACAGAATGTACAGTGTATCAAATATATTTATTATGTTCCATTTTGGAGTGAGTATGGTTTTACACCGCTTTTAGCAATAGTTTATCACGACGGGGGGACACCAGAAATGGGCTTCACACATTGTATACATGTGGGGAATCAAACCCAGGCCTTCAGCAAACACTTTAACTACTAGGCTACCCTACCACCCACTTTCCAATGTTAATTATGTTGTTCATTTAACAAATCAACAAGAAAATCGGCCGGTATAGTGGAAAAAATTATCAGGGCAAGTGATTTTACATGTGCCACTGTACCGCAGTACACTAGCAATCTTAAAGTTATTTCCACCCCTGCCTTTGGAAGTGATGTCACTGCCACAATATTGCTTACACTAGATTGTGTTTGAGAAAGCCCTTGACATAGATACTGTTACTTGAAGACTGTCATGTATGAATTTGTAATTGTAAAAATGTTTTCTGAGCATATAAATGTGGACCTCTTAAGGAGGAAACAACTAGGCAAGGCAAGCATATTTCAGTTATGAAAGCGTACACCCTGGTTTCGTTTCCCCACATGGTACAATGTGTGAAGCCCATTTCTGGTGTCCCCGGACGTGATATTGCTGGAATATTGCTAAAAGCAGTGTAAAACCAAACTCATTCACTCAAACTGTACAAAGAGACCCGTGAAGATCCGGGTTAGAATTGATCTTCAGTAACCCATGCTTGTCGTAAGAGGCGACTAACGGGACTGGGTGGTCAGGCTCACTGACTTGGTTGACACCTGTCATCGTATCCCTATTACATAGATCGATGCTCATGCTGTTGATCACTGGATTGTCTGGTCCAGACTCGATTATTTACAGACCGCCGCCATATCGCTGGAATATTGCTGAGTGCGGCGTAAAACTAAACTCACTCAATCACTGTACAAAGACATAGTGGTGAGTGAGTCCTAGTACAATTTTGAATGGTGCAGTGTATCTATAGTGGGGTATGGATGCAGGGTTTCTATGTATGCGTCAGAAATGTCAAATATATCAACACTAGACAAATGGAGTTCCGTGAAAGTCATTCATGATTGAATCAAATAATGCAAGTATACGTTTGTATTATTTCAAAAAACGTTTTTAAAGAATATTTAGAGGTCAAGGGAGATGGAAGTAATTACCGATAGAATGCCTTGTAATAGTGATTCCTGGTTGTTACACTGTAAGGGGCCGTTCATAATCTATGGCTAGTGGGGGTGATGATGATTTTAAGGAGGGGGGACCATTTTGTTCTGGGGAGGTAGGGGGTCATTGGGTTGGTTTTTTTGTCATCTCATCAATTTTGTACATAGAAGTATTAAAATATCATGCTTAAAATTATGGAAAAAAAGGGGGGGAAGGAGGCATTGATTGTGTACATGATATACAGGGAGGGTCACTTACTTTGTACATACATTTTAGAAGGGGGTGGGGGTTGGGGGGTGTCCCTTCACAGTGTACATGCTTCTCCATAAAAGTCATAATCACCTCCCCTAGCTATAAATTATGAATGGTCCCTAACTTACCTAGAAAGTGCAGAATCCTGCTGAGTGGCAACGACCAGCTTACTTCCTGACTGACCGCCATCTCCAGAGGGTGTCATGGTCTGATCAACATTGATGGCTGGCGACTGAGGCTGGTTCCTTGCCACAACAGACACATTGTCATCCTGTTGCACAGCTGCCGCTTTGTCATGGTGTTCTACAGTCGTCACCATGTTACCTTGATGTAATGAACACTGCGTGGTTGTGCTCAAAGTTACATCACCTAGAACTTCAAGTGGAACATCGTCAAGTATTTGGGTAGTTGTTGCCACGGTTACATCATCAGCTGGATGTTTGTGAGGTTTACTCTCCTCAGCCTGATCCAGTACTTCTGTCTTCACCTGTGTACCATCAATACTCCCAGCGGGCAGAGTGGTCATTTCATCCAGACACTTGTTTTTCTGGAAACTTTCTAAGGCTTTCATCAGTTCTTCATTGGGGCTTATGAGCTTGGATGCCCCCTCTTGGAAACTCTTGATGGTGAGGACCTCATTTTCACCTGTCGTGGGGTCCTGAACAATGATGATGATTGCTTCATCCTCAGCTGATGACACACCATCAACACTGGTCACTTCGGCTGCAGTCAAATTAGGATCTGTCAGTTCAGATGTGATAATGTCAATGTTATGTGACAGAGAGGATTGTTCCGATGTCAGAACCTCTGTCTGTGTCTCAACACTCTGAAGCACCACCTGGTGTCCATTGGAGGAAGGCTCTGTGGTATCATCAGCCATGACCATTGCCATCTTCCTCTTCTTGTTCTTGTGTGGGATAATAGTCTTCTCTGGCAGATTCAGAAGACTGTGAGTCACTCCTGACAAAGCTGACATGTCCATCAACACATCGCCATTGCTGTCAAGATGAAGATCCCTCCGAAGAACACGACTCTTTGGTTTCCTGGCCATGGCCACCTTGTCTTCTGGTGATCCATAGCCTTCCTTTGAGTAAATGACCTTATTATTGATGACCTTAGTGCCCTTCTTGCGGCCAGCTTTACCATTAAAGGATGGGTCAGTGTTATGGCGATTCAAATGTGCTTCGTACTCAGCTTTTCGTGAAAGACCCTTCCCACAGACTTCACACACAAACTCTTTCACTCCTGTGTGGATCTTCTGATGACGATTCCGGTTCCTCTCCGACTTGAACGTACGTCCACAGACACCACACTCAAACTTCCTGTCTTGGGTGTGAAGCTCAATGTGAGAGGGAAGGCTGGTGGCTTTCTGCAGCATCTTCCCACAGATAGGGCACACGGTGGACTGACCATCAGCGTAGGTCCTGGCGTTAGGTCGGTACACTCCGTGAAAAACACCATGGAACTGAAGGTCCTTCTCACACTGGAATACAGCAGTGCAAATGTCGCACTTGAACCTGGAGTTGGGGTTTGTGGAGTTGCCTTGTTGGTACAGGTCGGCCACGTGGCGGATCAGGTGCTGCTTCAGGTCCTCAGGTCGAGCATATTTCCTCCCGCACACCGGACACAGGAACGGCTTCTCTTCCTTGTGTATCATCATATGCCTACGCAGGGCAGACTTGCATTTTGCTACCTTCATACAAACAAAACACTCAAACTTCCCAGATGGAGTGGGGTCTAGTTCTCCATCAGACTCATCCGACATGTGATACAACATTTTCCCCTCCTCCTCACTCTCCACTTCATTCTCTACTTCCTCGACCTTTACTGTGGGCTCTGTGACTGATTCAGTGTCTCTCAAGGGTACCTCTACATGTGTTTCTGTGATCTGCGTGATGACCTCTGTGTCTGCATGAACCTCCAGATGAGAGACAACAGGGTCGACAGAGGTGAAGGTCTCACCACACCGGTTACATCGGAACCCAAGCCGTCGACCATGATAGTGCATATGTATATTATGAGTGTCATAGCCCTCGCCGCCAACTGCACCTACATGGCCGCTCTTTCCCTTTCTTTCCATCCAGTGACACAACAGGGATTCCACGCCCTTGAACATCTGATGACAGACTCGACAAACATGAGTGAACTCCGATTTAACTTCAGTTTTGTCTCTACTTGCTCTTCCTTCTGAGCTTTTTAGACTCTGTAGGGAGCTTGCCCTTCTTCTTCTCCACTTCGCATACTGAAGTTCAGCATAGGATGAGGAACTCTTCCACAGATCTCTGTCACTGCTACCTTTCAAAAGCTCCACAGCAGTGTGCTGTCCCAGGTGCTCAAGAAGCTCTGCACTTCCTGGGAAATCTCTGAAGCAGACATAACAAGGTTGTGGGTTGCCGGAGCCGAACAGGTCCCGATAGCTCTTCACCACAGAGGACGAGCGGAATGTGTAGCCCGCACTTGACATCTTAGACTTGAAGTTGATAGAGTGTTTCTTCATGTGATCAACCAGCTCCGAACAGCTGTCCAGCTCCAAGCTGCAGACAAAGCAGCATATTCCATCCTCCTCACTATGCCTGGTCTTGTGTCGCTGCAGCTCAGAAGCTTGCCGGAAGTGTCGCCCACACAGCTCACACCCATGTGGTTTCTCCCCCAAGTGTATTAAGCTGTGTGTCGTCTTCATCTGCTCTGTCAGGAACTTCTTACCACAGTCTTCACATTCAAATGTAGCACGTCTTGACTGCCGCGTCACTCGAGTACTGGGAGATGTTGGTGGTGAGGGTGCAGGGGAGTCAGGCTCCATCCCATGTGGGTCTGTCAGTGTCCCCCCTGGGGCAGTTTTGGCCGACGATCTAGTGGACATGGCAGGTTCTCCACCTGGAAGAGAAGACCACATTCAATAGTAGGACATGCTTGTCATAAGGCCTAACTAACGGGATCGGGTGGTCAGACTCGCTGACTTGGTTGGCACATGTCATCATTTATCATACAATGGATAGTGTTCTCGGCAGGATAAAGCCAACGGATATTTTCGGTATCCGCTGGGGTCATATACGGATATTGATGCAAATTAGAGAGGTCATATGCAAATTTTAGGGACTACTTTCACAGTGTAAACAAACATGGCGTCAAGGGTCAGCGGTCGTGTCCGGATTAACGGTCGTGGTTACGGTACTGTCAAGAGCTTTGATCCCAGAAAATTCATGCCTGGTTTTGATATATGGAGTAGATTACAAAGCGAAGATAGAAATTCATAGGCTTACGAAGATACCAACATCAGTTCCCCGACCGACTGTCAGCGTTAGTGAGAGAACGGCATAGGAATCCAGTCGCACAACGTCACACTAACATTAAAGCATATTTTGTTGTTCAAAAGGTTAATTGAATGTTTCCGAAGTTCCACGCGAGTTTGTTGTTATTTTTCAAACGTAAGCTAAGATTTGATGACAACAATACGTGCTTTAGCATAAAAGCTTACTGGGAACTAGATGACCGCTGAGTGATAAGGAGAAAATTATGTCACCGGGCTTGTGGCGTAACATATTACTCCGCACATATTTGTGATGTCATAGCCATTCCACAAAGTTTAGTTTCATGATTTGTGCAGGGATGGAAATAACTTGAAAATTGCTAGTGTACTCCGGTACAGTGGCACATGTAAAATCACTTGCCCTGATAACATAATAAACATTGGAAAGTGAACTGGACACCGGTATAGTGTGATATACAAATTTGCTTGCCCGACAGAAAAAAACACTGGACTGGGGCGTCGGGCAATGGGTTATTTCCACCCATGTTTGTGGCATTTGAAATCGCATTTTTTTAAATTATAAAGCAAAAATGACATTGTATGATAAACAGGTTATCACACTCGTGTCTTTTGGGATGGTTTACATCCTGCATTAGGAATAATCACTATGTATTTATACAGTGATTATTCCTAATGCAGGATATTAACCATCCCAAAACACACTCGCGTGATAACCTATATATCTCAAATGTGTAGATCAATGCTCATGCCGTTGATCAATGGATTGTCTGGTCCAGACTGGATTATTTACAGACCACTGCCATATAGCTGGAATATTGCTGAGTGTGGCGTTAAACAACAAACAAGCATTTGTATGACTGCACAGTATTGCCAGTTTATTGAACAGGATCACCAGTTTCAAAAGTATTGCAATGTCTTTTAGGAAAACCAGTATATTGGGTAAAACAATAAAAGACGTTTTGGGATTACATCTATGGTTATAGTAAAAACCTACTCAACTACTATTCACAACTGACAGTTCCCTTTGTAATTATGACAAAACAGCAGTCGTTACACGCTGTAAAATGTATTAAAGGAAAAAAGATTATCAGAATCATTACAAATGTTTTCAGGGCCTCAATGTGTAGAAAATAGGATCTGGTTGTATGATGAGCGTCACTCACGGACAAAGACGTTAACCCCAATACATGTATATCACAATACGACTACATGAATCGCAATATATGCAATAAACTCATTTGCCAATACACAGCAAATTTGACACTAACATACAGGAAGGAGCAAGTGCAGCAGGTAACCTCCCAAAACCCCTACAGCTTTTCAAAGTTCATGGTCCAGTGCACTGCTTATCTCCTACCTGTTACCTATTTCATACTACGGACCAGCCCAAACCAAACTAAGAGTTTGAGAGAATGGTTTTTATGGATGATAACAAAAATATTTTAACAAAAGTTCAATAATATTGACTGACTGACTGAGTTTTGGTTTTACGCCGCTTTTAGCAATATTCCAGCAACATCACGGCTGGGGACACCAGAAATGGGCTTAACACATTGTACCCACAATAATATTGAACTTGAGGTCAACTTCATTAAATATCATAATGTCATTACATACAAAATGTTTTCTATGTTTTATATTTCTACATGTTATCTGTCAACCTCAAGCAAACTGGTTTTGCTATGTTCCAGCCTCATGATCCCCATTTTGTTTGACTTTTTATCTTTGTACACCCAAAAAACTCAAAATCTGCAATAAATGCATCACAAATTCAGGAAACAAAATATGCAAGAAATATTTTGTGTGTTTGAGATAGGTAGAAGTCCTCTAGAATCAAACTTAGATATTAAATTGCATAAAAAAGAAATTTGAAACTACAGTCGCTTGTTAAAGTGATTCCCCCCATCATGTTTACTGAAAGAGCTTGCTTTGGAGACACTACCCACCCCCTTTCAGATGACATAATCATAAGGACATAACTTATTCTCATGTTTTCACTGACCGCCTCCGTGGTGTAGTGGTTAGAGCGTCCGCCTGGAGAGCGGAAGGTCGCGGGTTCGATCCCCGACCGCATCTGGCCAAAAGACGTTAAAATATGGTACTTGTTGGTCCCTGCCTGGTGATTGGCATTTATGGTAACAACAAGGACGGGTCAGCTCAGAGTCAGTATAATGTGTCTGAGTGGGGTATTCCTGCTTCACTGCGGCATGGTATCTCAGTGGGCTAGCACTATAAAACCAGCTTCAGTCTGAGCTAGTACAAGCAGCCACACATACACACACACACACGTCATAATATGAGCGAAATATTCTCAAGCACGAAGTTAAACCCAATTTCACCTCACCTTAAATTATTCATCTCAGTTTACTATCTCCAACACTATTACAACTGATATTATTACGATTTGCAAAATCTGCTCACTCCCTATATGTACATCAGGAAGCTAGAACAACTAGTTCAACATTTTATTCATCTAAATTATTTAAAAAGAATTATTAAAACCCTAATAACAACAGCACAATCTTATTCCCTTCTCATCTGTATACTCTGTGCAGCATAATCTCACACTGTATACTCCCTTGGGTCAGTTCATTATGCCACACAGGTAAATGCTGCGTGTTGTTTTAACTAATCGTAGGGGTACTGGGCTGTAGGGGTTATGGGCTGTAGGGGTTTTGGGAGACAACCCTGCAGCATGTTCTTGTAGTCAGCAATATTCCAGGGGGCCCAAGTCTAATGACCATGAAAGGGTGTTGTCCAGATCATTGGTATGTCTTCTTGTGAACACTTCAATGTTAATAATGATAAAAATGACTGACTTGTTCAGCTAACTTCCATAATTCCTTTAGATGTGAATTAATAAAAGGTGTTCCATTAATTAAAACGACACAGAACACTGTTATAAATGATGATAAAAACGAAACTGCTTCTTATTCAAAGCACTTGCTTTAATTAATAATGTGTCATCACATATCATCATCAATATGTATAGTTTGATTGGCAATGGCAGGCTTATATTATGTCATATCACAAGTAGCATGTGATGAGATGACAGATCAAACAGATTAATGTGACATATTGTAACATTTTCAGAAAAGCTGTGGTAATAAATTCTAAAGTAAGCGTGTGTGCAAAACGGGAAGGGGGGTACATGGGACACTGTTAATAAAAACCGGGCAGACGAAGAATCGCGGATTAAAATCCGACCGACTGTACATCAGCGAAGCTACACGGAGCCATACTCAGAAAAGAGACTTAGCAGTCCGACAAAATGATCACTTCAAACAGACGCTATATGAATTACTAAGATAGTATTAAGAACCATATGATACGCCATGTGTGCTGAACCATCGAAAGATGTGTTCGCTCTCGTCCGGGCATTATGGTAACCATCGATCTCGGATCAAACATGGCGGACGCGTATCTCCTCCTTGTCTCACCTGTTAAATCATTTATAACTGAACCCCAAATCTATCTGTAAACCACGACAGTCGTATTCAGGTTAAATAAATTCGGAAATTTAACTGAACCTGCTTGCTTCTATCTGTGTTGCAATCTAACGAGTGTAAACACAACATGCCTGGAAGAAGTGGCAAATCGGATTTGTCAACAGGTCAAATACAACGGGTCTATGGAAACGATTCAACTAATTGTTCCCTATTCCATATAGGCAAACAAGCAGAATCTCCATTTGTTAAAACCTCAACAGTAACTGCAAGGTATTATCCAATACTCACCAGATAAACGAAGTAAATTTGATGGGTCTGTCCCGTATTTTATTAAAACGCGCGCTTCGTTTCCGGTCGCTAGGGTTTAATTGAAACTGGGAATTGTAATGTTACGGAAAGATATTTCAATTGATGACGAAACGAAAAATATATTTAGATGAGGGAAAAGCGTCTCCCTGATTTGGAAAGCTTAATTGTATAGTGTTTGATCGTTTAAAACTGCTAATAAACCGTATATATTCATCATGCACAACGTCATGACATCTGCGGGCGGATGCCTCAACGTCAGGTGGCTGCACATGTCCACTACCACGGAAACAACATATTTGTGCAGAGACAGTAAATACTGTGCGATAAACTGCTAATACTGTGTAGTCCTACTATTCCAGCTATAAATAGAGGCGGTCTGTAAATAATCGAGTCTAAACCAGTCAATCCAGTGATCAACAGCATGAGCATCAATCTTCGCAATTTGGGATGTGATGACATGTAGCTAAGATACATAGTGTTCACTAACATGAACGTTCATGTTAGTGAACACTATGTATCTTAGCTACATGCACCACGGCTTTGGCGTATAAACTTCAACATAGTCAGCCTGGTTCCCTGGGTCCGTTGCGCCTGCGCTACGCTCCGACACTGACGGAGCGTAGCGCAGGCGCAACGGACCCAGGGAACCAGGCTGTTGTCCAGCTTGGACAAAAGTTACAATCCTTTTTATATATTGTTGTTGTGTTATTTGGTATTTGTCATCATGATACTTGTGTGCACACTTGTTTAGTTTACTTTCCATTCGTATGAAACGATTGACAGCAATTATTTCGACATATTTAATACTTTTTCTACGCGAGGCGATTCGCGGTTGCTCGGAAATTGGAAAGAAGCCCTGATCGTAATGCGTATGCGAAGTAAAGGTCAAAGTTCGCTGATATAAAAATGTTGCAGTTTTATAGTTTTTCGTTGCCTGTTTCAGTAGCGAGGTAATGTGTTAATGTTGCTATTTCCACGATTAATATGGGCTTTTCTGCGTTTTTCTGCACAGTGGGAACGTTTTCTTTGGTAGGCCTGGTAATGCTCAAGGCCCATGAAGATCCGGGTTAGATTTGATCTTCAGTAACCCATGCTTGTCGTAAGAGGCGATTAACGGGATCGGGTGGTCAGGCTCACTGACTTGGTTGACACATGTCATCGGCTCCCAATATAAACGCATCATCCTTATAAGGGATTATATAGCCGGGATGAGTATAAGATGGCCACATGACTGTTAACCATCTAGAGGCCCTTGTGTCTTTGCGATGATTAAAGATTTACAACTAAAAAATATAAAACAATGAGATGACCCTCGACTCGAAATGCTCCATAGTTCAATACGTCATGGTGTTTTGTACTGTGAGGTGTTTCGAATCGGGGGTCATCTCAAAATGTTGATAAAATCTTTAATCCTCGAAAGAAATGTCTGCTCTTTGCGAAACATAAATTTCCTTCGAGCCACTGAACATCCTGGAGATGGATATAAGGCACTCTACAGGTGTTTTATATATATACATCTAAACGTTAATTAAGCACCACCCAATTTTTCAGAAAAGTTCAACATTCAAATCATGAAAAGTGCAATTTCCTGTCTGACTCAATGTAAAGAGGATTGATTGTGCTGAAGGGATGTCCTGCACTATCACTACACAGAAAACGAAGCCGATGATTATCTTTGATACCAATTTATTGGAGTTATGCGAATAAGCGTCAAAACGACCATTTCATTAGGCCTGAAAAGTATCACTGTCCAGTCCATACTGGTATCTGCAATGTCAAACGTTCAACTTAAATATGCTTGTTGTCATCATGGCTATCTCTAGAAACTGTTTAGTCAGTATCGGGAGTATCCACCTCTAACACGAATCACATTTTTAAGACGCCTTCTCATGCTTGAAATGAGACGTCTGATTCTAAGCATCGGGATTCTCTGCCAATCCTCGTGAAGAGCCTGTTGCAGTTCATCCATATTCTGCACAGAAGGATCTCTGGCTCTCACTTGGCGCCCAAGATAATCCCATAAATGCTCTATGGGATTAAGATCCGGGCTTCTGGCTGGCCATGGAATAGTGTCAATAGCATTGTTCCTCAAGTGATCGACTACTGCTCTGGCACGATGAGGCCTGGCGTTATCATCCATGAACAGGGGACGACTGGCAAGTGTGTGATTGTCAAAATGGGGTATTACGGCAACATCCAAGATGTCACGTTGATAACGTTGTCCGTTTAACGTTCCCGGTACTGTGATTAGGTCCAGCTTGCAGTCGTAGGACACACAACCCCACACCATCACTGAGCCACCGCCAAAGGGGACCGTTGGTTCAATCATTTCCGGGTTATAAGCTTCATTGCGGCGGCGCCAGACACGGCTGCGGCCGTCAGTGACGTGCAACAGGTAACGACTTTCGTCCGACCAGTGGACTCTGCGCCAGTATCGGAGATTGTGGTTTTGCCTTAACCTGCACCACGCCAGGCGTTCTTGCATGTGTCTGTCAGTGAGAAATGGACGTCTGACTGGTCTACGTGCACGCAATCCTGCAGCTCTTAACCTCTTTCGGAGGTCTGACGCCCACTCGCCATTTTCTACGGAGGTCTTCAGCATGGGTCATTGGATTGCGTCTGGCTAAGCAAATTAAGGCCCTGTCGTCACGAGCACTAGTTTTTCTTGGACGTCCAGGTCTGGGTCGGTCTTTGACGTCTCCAGTTTGCCCGTGCATGTGTATCGAGCACGTGCATCTTCTGTATTGCGCAGTTTATGGTTGCGATACGTGTGATGCACGGGCAATACAGGCACATAGCATACTGTGAAATTTCATCATCCTTACTTGACACTAATTGATAATATTTACTTTTGAATTTGGTGGTGCTTAATTAACGTTTAGCTGTATATATTTACACCTGGAATAAAATCAAGCATCCCCAGTAATTGTTACAAAGTTGTATGTTTCGGCTAACATCAGCTGTGTGCACGAACAGTACGTTGGTCAAGCTGTAGGCTATTCTGTAAGATCACGTCTTGAGGTGAGGTGAGGTGAAGTGGAATTGGGTTTAACGTCGTACTTGAGAATATTTCGCTCATATGACGACGTGCAGACTTAAACTGGTTTTATAGTGCTAGCCCACTGAGATACCATGCCGCAGCGAAGCTCAGACACATGATACTGACTCCGAGCCGACCAGTCCTTGTTGTACCCATAAATGCAGAGCGCCAGGCAGGGACCAACAAGTACCATATTTTAACGTCTTTTGGTATGACGCGGTCGGGGATCGAACCCACAACCTTCCGCTCTTCGGGCGGACGCTCTTAGCACTACACCACGGTGGCGGTCGATCATGTCTTGACTACAAGAAAGCACAAAAGGACAGTGACCTTCAACGTTTTGGGGCGGTGGGGTAGCCTAGTGGTAAAGCGTTGGCTCGTCACGCCGAAGACCCGGGTTCGAATCCCCTCATGGGTACATTGTGTGAAGCCCATTTCTGGTGTCCCCCGCCGTGATGTTGCTGGAATATTGCTAAAAGCGGCGTAAAACCAAACTCAGTCAGTCAGTCAACGTTTTAATAGTTGATATGGCACAAAACACAAGAAACATGACACCTGTAACAAGTTTGGAGTTTGAGAGAGTATCAGGAAACATGGCGTGTATGTGATGAGACAAAAACGTTTATTTGTAAAGTGGGAATGTTGTACAATCAATATCTAAAGTACTGTTTAAGCTGCAGAAGCTTATACTCATTAGTGGCAGGAGCTTTATCAACACATGCCATGAAAGCAGCTTTCCAGCCTTCATATTCTCTAGTGTCACCATAAAATACTGGAATGGATACTCGCTTCAATTGTTTCCACATACCTTCACCTAAATTGTGTTACCTTGATGACTTACCTGAAGAGGAATACCCTTCAGTGTTAAGTGGAAGTTTATTAACCATATTTGACTTTTGTGGTACACAACCTATGTTGGGTGAAGCAGGTTTGCCACCCTGACTAACGCCTGAACCATGCTGTGAACCTTTACAGTTCTCATGCGAATGACTTGCGTCAGAATGAAATAACCTTGATATTCCAGACTTAATGCTCGATGCCTTTGAACTAGCAGGTGCATTGGTTCTAAGAAACCCTTCAGCATTGTCAAGGGCCAGTTGAATCTCATCTCATCTGGGTTTTACGCCGTGCTTGAGAATATTTCGCTCATATGACGTGCATGCGTGTGTATGTTTATGTGTGGCTGCTTGTACTAGCCCAGACTTAAGCTGGTTTTATAGTGCTAGCCCACTGAGATACCATGCCGCAGTGAAGCATGAATATCTCTGACATCGTGAATAGTTATTTCACAGTAACTATTTCTATGTCTTAAACTAATCTAACTGAACTAAATGCTAATACAACTAACTGAATATTCTAGCCTAGTGGTTAAAGCGTTCGCTCGTCAAGCCGAAGACCCGGGTTCGATTCCCCACATGAGTACCAATATGTGAAGCCCATTCCTGGTGTCCGGAATATTGTTAAAAGCGGCGCAAAACTGAACTCACTCACTCACTCATCCCCGGGTGCATTCAGGCGATACGACTAGTTTGCACTGCGTGTGATTGAGCGAGCAGTTTTAAATGATAAAACCAAAATGCCTTCAGAACACCCCCAGTTTTATTCCCTAAAGGATTATCTTATCTCCTCAACCACCGTCGGTGACACTCGTCCTGGTTTTGCTTTTGAGACGACCCCTCCTACTTGTTTCTTTCCATAGTGACGGTAGGCTACATGGTAGCTACATCCTTAATAGTTTCTGTATTAAAGTTAGTCTTTTTTACGTCAGCTTTCGTTTATAATGAAGCTAAGTCTAGTTTCAAAATAGGCATTTAAAAAGTGTCCTCTGAAATAAAATATCATCGTACACTAGTTTGCATAAAGCCATGGTCTGTTCTAAATAAGTCGTTTTGGACTTAGAAAAAACCCCGCATTGTTCATTTCTGCACTAATCTCTCCTCAGTAAAGTCCATTTTGTACGTATCCTATCTCCCTAAAACTGCGACTTTCACATATAAACTTCATAAAATTGTAGATATAAATGTGAAAAAACAACAACATTTTTTTTCTATTTCCGACAGTAGTTTAGTCCACCATCTCAGGCAGTCTGATCAACTCAGACAGCAGCTGCAGGTACTGGCGGTCTCCAACCTGGACAACAGCTGCAGGTACTGGCGGTCTCCAACCTGGACAACAGCTGCAGGTACTGGCGGTCTCCAACCTGGACAACAGCTGCAGGTACTGGCGGTCTCCAACCTGGACAACAGCTGCAGGTACTGGCGGTCTCCAACCTGGACAACAGCTGCAGGTACTGGCGGTCTCCAACCTGGACAACAGCTGTACTGGTATCATGCGCAATTATTCTCCAACCTGGACAACGGCTGCAGGTACTGGCTAATTATGGGGTACTGGCGGTCTCCAACCTGGACAACAGCTGCAGGTACTGGCGGTCTCCAACCTGGACAACAGCTGCAGGTACTGGCGGTCTCCAACCTGGACAACAGCTGCAGGTACTGGCGGTCTCCAACCTGGACAACAGCTGCAGGTACTGGCGGTCTCCAACCTGGACAACAGCTGACCGCATGCACTGGTCGTCTCCAGTGTTGATCTTGGTGACACGTCCGATAGTCCAGAGGGATCCGACTACAGTCCGTTCGAGTCAGAAACGGACCGATGAATTGCAAAGTTTATCATTGTACAAAATTGCCACATAAATATAAATAGTACACATGTTTATCATTTACTAATACCCAACAGCCAGGTGTGCGAGAAAGGCTGGAGACGGCACAGCACAGGCTAATGAATCAATAACTTGGTGGGCACATGTGCACGTGCTTCTCTGACACCTGGCTGTCCCTTTCTCTGCACTCCTTCCTCGTAACAAATAGTGAACTGTGTCAAAATTTTAATGATAGTTTCTTAAAGAACTTTTTGGTGGAGTCCGGAAAATTTTCATATATAAGAAAGCTGTTGGTATTAGCAAATGATAAACGTGTACTATTTATAATTTTGTACAATGATAAAATTTGCAATTCATCGATCCGTTTCTGACTCAAACGGACTGTAGTTGGGGTTCAATGATCATTACGACCTCGCCGTTGCTCAGCTTCTTCCTGTCTTTCTGCAGCTTCTGGCGTGACTGAAGAGTTGACAGATAGTACTTCATGAAGTGCTTCTACAAGTGGTCTGCGAGGAGCTGGCTGTGGCGTCCGTCGGTTGAGTATTTCGTCTGCTGGGTAGACAACTTGCGGCAGTGAAGGATCATGTCTACCCATCAACAGGATGTTTGGGGTTATTGGTTCACAGTCCAGCACGTCTGTAGAGATGTAACCAAGGGGTTTGGAGTTGACGATCCATTCTACTTCCATGAGTACTGTTCTCAGGACTGGTTCAGAAACTAATTGTTCTCCCATGGCAACACACCTGACTTCACGCTCCCATACTCCTCCAAAGTGTGGTGCGCTTGGTGGGTTGAATAGGAAAATCATCTGGTGGCTGGCAAGCTGCTTGGTTATTTCAGGACTCAAGGCTTCAAATGACTCTCAATTCTTGCTCACCGCCTTTGAAGTTGGTCCCACAGTCAAACAGAACTTCGAATGGTTCAGGTCTGTGGGAAATGAATCGTCAGAAAGCCATTAAGAAGGTGTTGGCATCCAAACTGTCCAATAGATCAAGGTACACAGCTCGAAAAGTCATGCACTTGATTATTAATTCCCCACTGTTTCTCACCGCGCCTACCTATCTTCATTCGTTGGACCGAAACAGTCCATTCCTCATTCTCCCCCGTTGTGGGGTCCTGAACAGTGATGATGATTGCTTCATCCTCAGCTGCAGATACACCATCAACACTGGTCACTTTGGCTGCAGTCAAATTAGGATCTGTCAGTTCAGATCTGTTATGAGCCAGAGAGGATTGTTCCGATGTCAGAACCTCTGTCTGTGTCTCAACACTCTGAAGCACCACCTGGTCTCCATTGGAGGAAGGCTCTGTGGTGTCATCACCATCTACCATGCCCATCTTCCTCTTCTTGTTTTTGTGTGGGATGATGGTCTTCTCCTTTTGATCCCTCCGAAGAACACGACTCTTTGGTTTTCTGGCCATGGCCACCTTGTCTTCTGGTGATCCATAGCCTTCCTTTGAGTATATGACCTTATCATTGATGACTTTAGAGCCCTTCTTGCGGCCAGTTTTACCATTGAAGGTTGGGTCAGTGTTATGCCGATTCAAATGTACTTCGTACTCAGCTTTTCGTGAAAGACCCTTTCCACAGACTTCACACACAAACTCTTTCACTCCTGTGTGGATCTTCTGATGACGATTCCGGTTCCTCTCCGACTTAAACGTACGTCCACATACACCACACTCCGACTTCTTGTCTTGGCTGTGAAGCTCAAGGTGAGAGGGAAGGCTGGTGGCTTTCCGCAGCCTCTTCCCACAGATAGGGCACCTGAAGGTCTGACCATCAGCGTAGGTCCTGGCGTTAGGTCGGTACACTCCGTGATAAACACTGTGGAACTGAAGGTCCTTCTCGCACTGGAATACAGCAGTGCAAATGTCACACTTGAACCTGGAGTTGGGGTTTGTGGAGTTGCCTTGTTGGTACAGGTCGGCCACGTGGCGGATCAGGTGCTGCTTCAGGTCCTCAGGTCGAACATATTTCCTCCCGCACACCGGACACAGGAGCGGCTTTTTTTTCCTGGCGTATCTTTCCAGATGGAGTGGGGTCTAGTTCTCCATCAGACTCATCCGACATGTGATGCAACATTTTCCCCTCCTCCCCACTCTCCACTTCCTTCTCTACTTCCTCGACCTTTACTGTGGGCTCTGTGACTGATTCAGTGTCTCTCAAGTGTACCTCTACATGTGTTTCTGTGATCTGCATGTTGACCTCTGTGTCTGCATCAACCTCCAGATGAGAGACAACAGGGTCAACAGATATAGCTTCAGTTTTGTCTCTACTTGCACTTCCTCCTGAGCTTTTGAGACTCTGTGAGGAGCTTGCCCTTCTTCTTCTCCACTTCTCATACTGAAGTTCAGCATAGAATGAGGAACTCTTCCACAGATCTCTGTCACTGCTACCTTTCAAAAGTTCCATAGCAGTGTGCTGTCCCAGGTGCTCAAGAAGCTCTGCACTTCCTGGGAAATCTCTGAAGCAGACATAACAAGGTTGCGGATTGCCGGAGCGGAACAGGTCCCGATAGCTCTTCATCACAGAGGACGAGCGGAATGTGTAGCCTGCACTGGACACCTTAGACTTGAAGTTGATAGAGTGTTTTTTCATGTGATCAACCAGCTCTGTACAGCTGTCCAGCTTCAAGCTGCAGACATAGCAGCATATTCCATCCTCCTCACTATGCCTGATCTTGTGTCGCTGCAGCTCAGAAGCTTGCCGGAAGTGTCGCCCACACAGGTCACACCCATGTGGTTTCTCCCCTGAGTGTACTAAGCTGTGCTTCTTCTTTATCTGCTTTGTCATTAACTTCTTACCACAGACTTCACATTCAAATGTAGCATGTCTCGACTGCTGCGTCACTCGAGCACTGGGAGATGTTGGTGGTGAGAGTGCAGGGGAGTCAGGCTCCACCCCGTGTGGGTCTGTCAGTGTCCCCCCTGGGGCAGTTTTGGCCGCCGATCTAGTGGACATGGCAGGTTCTCCACCTGGAAGAGAAGACCACATTCAATAGTGGACATGCTTGTTGCAAGAGCCTACTAACGGGATCGAGTGGTCAGACTCGCTGACTTGGTTGACACATGTCATCATGTCCTAACTGTGTAGATCAATACTCATGTTGTTCATCAATGGACTGTCTGGTCCAGACTGGATTATTTACAGACCACTGCCATATAGCTGGAATATTGCTGAGTGTGGCGTTAAACAACAAACAAACATTTGTATGACTGCACAGTATTGCCAGTTTATTGCACAGTATCACCAGTTTCAAAGGTATTGCAATGTCTTTTAGGAAAACCAGTATATAGGGTAAAAGAATAAAATACGTTTTGGGATTACATCTACAGTTTTAGTTAAAACCTACTCAACTTCTATTCACAACTGACAGTTCCCTAACAAAAATAGTAACATACATTTCGTAAGTGTCAATGCTTAATTGATTTGTGCTCTCCTACATGAGATGAATGGTGTGTTCCGTGACTAAAACACTTTTTTGTGTATTAGTGAGAAAGCAGACAGCATAATTAACCTATGGACATAGGCTTTTCCATTAAAATTGTCTTTTGACTTACATGAAAGACCTACAGACAAAGGAAAGAACAAGTAAACAAGTATTCTGGTTAAATATCCCATCAATAAATTGCGAGACATGATTCACTTAACCTCCTAACACACAAATGAGGGATAAATAAAACAAATAGAACTACAAGAGAATGCTCCTAGTTTGTATGCTCTTAGTTTTTGTACACTGTATAACTGTGTACACAGCTTGGAATTTATGTGATTTGTGAATATCCTCAAAGAAATGTCTGCCACCTTTATATTTGACAGACAAATGAATCTGATAGATAATGAATTTGGCTGTAAATGAATTGCAATGTGACCGTAGCGTACATTTCTGCAAAGGTTGGGACAGAGCTGAAGCCTAACTTTGGAGGAAATTCATCAAGATTTAAAACAGTTGCTCGTATGTGAGTGAGTGAGTTTGGTTTTACGCCGCTTTTAGCAATATTCCAGCAACATCACGGCGGGGGACACCAGAAATGGGCTTCACACATTGTACCCATGTGGGGATTCGAACCCGGCGTGACGAGCTAACGCTTTAACCACTAGGCTACCCCACCGCCCTGCTTGTATGTGGGGTGTATATGATGTTAATAAAGGAAAACAACACAATCAACTGAATGCAGCTGCAATAAGACCAGATCATAGTGAGGTTGGTGTACTTCCTGGTTTTGACAGTTGGGACTAACTTACATTTCATTTTCACATACTCAAAGCCTTATTTCAGAATGACTATTGTACTTGTGAAGCTGAATGTTTTGGTACAAGTTGCATAGATCAAACCCTTTATTTACCACACACAACATTATGCAAAATAGGTTTATGTTTTCACATATGTCAGTTGGACATCATTTGGACCTGCATATTGGGTTTTGACAGTGTATGATAACCATCGAACCATGTGATAAGCCATGTGTGCTGAACCATCGAAGGATGTGTTTCCTCTGGCTGTAGGTGAATTCGTAGACCAGACTGGTTCGGAGATATGGAAATCCGGTGGATTCGTAGGCGGACTGACCAGTGGATTCGTAGACATTAGTAAAATGGGGAAACTTCTACATCATTGATGATGAAAATCGATATTGTGAAGGAACTCTTTAAAAGAACCCCAAACACATAATAAAAATGACAAAAATTAAAAACACTATATTTTCCTAGTTAGCGGTTCAGCGGGTTTGAACCAACACTCCTTCCCTTTGTTTTAGCAAACTGGTAGCTCAAGGTGGTAGCCTCAGAGTGATCTCCCTTTACAAAAACACATGTAAACTTCAGAAAATTTTTCTTAGCTTTCAATCTGGTAATATCCAAACCAATCACAATCATGTAAGTAATTACTCTTCCCATCTCATCAATGTAATGTTATTTTCTATCAATTAAAGCCTATATCATGTCAGATTACCTATTATTTTATCAAAAACCAATATTTTCACCACTTGAGCTGCTAGTCATTCTAATGTTTATTTTTTGTTTCTGACAGTAAATTACCCTCTCCGGAGGTTCTGTGTTCCCAAAACTGAATAAAACTCTGAAAAACACCACAGATATTATGACCTTAGAGTAAACGAAGAGTGTTTGAGTTTTGTGAAAAAAATTTATTAGGTAAGTATGATCGGTAATTTCATTATTTTCTTGTTGTCGGAAAATTATGATGAGTGGACAATTTTTGTCTGATCCGCCGACAAAGATTACCTGTACAAACATTGGAGTACATAAACCTCAAGAAGGTAAAAAGAAATCATTTTCAAAATTAATATGTTTACAAAATACTTTTATTATATTATTTCTACACGTCTACGAACCAGTCTGGGCTACGAATCCACCGCGTCTACGAACTGGTTCAGCCTACGAAAACACCGTCTCCCCTTCCCTCTTGTCCGGGCATTATGGTAACCATCGATCTCGGATCAAACATGGCGGACGCGTATCTCCTTGACTCACCTGTTAAAGCATTAAACGATTTATATCTGAACCCCAAATCTATTTGTAAAGCACGACATAGGTATTCAGGTCGAAATTAAACTATACGTGTTTAATATGCTTCTATCTGTGCTGCAATCTAACGTGTGTAAACATAACAGGCCTGGTGAAGTGGAAAATCGGATGTCAACAGGTCAAATACAACGGGTTTATGAAAACGACTCAACTGATTCTTCCCTTTTCCATACTGGGCAACAAGCAGAATATATTCCATTTGTTAAAACCTCAACAATAACTGCAAGGTATTATCCAATACTCACCAGATAAACGAAGTAAATTTGATGGGTATGTCCCTTTATTAAAACGCGAGCTTCGTTTCCGGTCGCTAGGATTTATATGAAACTGGGAATGGTTTTGTTACGGAAAGATATTTCAATGTGATGAAACGAAAAATATATTTAGATGGGGTAAAACCGATTCACTCATTTGGAAAGCTTAATTGTATGGTGTTTGATCGTTCAAAACTGCTAATAAACCATATATATTCATCATGCCACAACTCACGACTGCACAACGTCATGACATCTGCGGGCGGATGTCTCAGCGCCAGGTGGCTGCACATTTCCACTACCACGGAAACAACATATTCGTGCAGAGACTGTTGATACAGTGCGATAAACTGCTAATAATGTGCAGTCCTACTCATCCAGCTATAAATGGCGGCGGTCTGTAAATAATCGAGTCTGAACCAGTCAATCCAGTGATCAACAGCATGAGCATCGATCTTCGCAATTCGGGATGTGATGATGACATGTAGCTAAGATACATAGCGTTCACTAACATGAACGTTCATGTTAGTGAACACTATGTATCTGAGCTACATGTACCATGGCTTTGGCGTATAAACCCCAACATAGTCAGGAACCGTTTACGTCATTACGGGTCACGACTACTTCGTTCCACAAAACGGCCTATCCTTACGCAACGTCATCCAGAAACCGTCAAAGGTGGTGCCTCAATCTTGTAATGTGCGTCAGCGGAGATGGAGGAACCTCGTTTTTACAGACGAGTCAGATTTAATGTTACCCGTAGTCATGGACGTCAACATGTCTGTCGACCTCTTGGGGGTAATGCTCAAGACCAGTGAAGATCCGGGTTAGAATATTGATCTTCAGTACCCCATGCTTGTCGTCAGAGGCGATTAACAGGATCGGGTGGTCAGGCTCGCTGACCTGGTTGACACATGTCATCGGTATGAGTATAAGATGGTATAAGATGGTCATATGACAGTTAACCATCTAGAGCCACAGGCCCCTGTGTCTTTGCGAACTAATAAAAATAAAACAATAAGATGAGCCCCCGACTCGAAATGCTCCACAGTTCAATACGTCATGGTGTCTTGTACTATGAAGTGTTTCGAATCGGGGTCATCTCAAAATGTTGATAAAATCTTTAATCCTCGAAAGACACGAGGTCCTAAAATGTCTGCTCTTTGCGAAACATAAATTTCCTTCGCGCCACTGAACATCCTGGAGATGGATATAAGGCACTCTACAGGTGTATTATATATTATTATATTATATAATACACCTGTATATGTAGATATAAGGCACAGGTGTACAGGTGTATATATATTAATATATAATACACCTGTACACAGGTGTACAGGACCTTAGAGTGCCTTATATCCCAGGTGGTTAATATAAATATATAATACACCTGTAGAGTGCCTTATATCCATCTCCAGGGTGTTCAGTGGCGCGAAGGAAATTTATGTTTCGCAAAGAGCAGACATTTTACCCTGGTTAAGCCAAGCTGCCCGTGAGGCTCTAGACACAGGACCTCGTGTCTTTCGAGGATTAAAGATTTTATCAACATTTTGAGATGACACCCGAATTTTGAGATTTACACCTGGAATAAAGTCAAGCATCCCCAGTAATTGTTACAAAGTTGTATGTTTCGGCTAACATCAGCTGTGTGCACGCACAGTACGTTGGTAAAGCTGTATCTGCAAGATCACGTTTTGAGGTGAGGTGAGGTGAAATTGGGTTTAACGTCGTACTTGAGAATATTTCGCTCATATGACGACGTGCATGCGTGTGTATGTGTATGTGCGGCTGCTTGTACTAGCCCAGGTGAGGTGAGGTGAAATTAGGTTTAACGTCGTGCTTGAGAATATTTCGCTCTTATACCACTAGGGTGTGTTATGTCCATTGTTCTGGCAGGTTGATTTTCTGTGTATCAACCTTCTATCTGCACGTGCAGAGGTTGATATGTGGATAACAACCTTGGCGGTGCAGGAAACGCACGTGCAACAAGCAATGGACGAGTCCATTCGGCGCCCACGTGGTATAAGTAGGTTAGCACACCCCCACCCACCCCACCCCCACACCTCTGCGGGTGATATGGATTCAACGCTCTCGTGCGAAGACTCGAGCGTTGAAATCCATATCACCCTTGAGGAGGGTGCTAACGTATACACATGACGACGTGCATGCGTGTGTAT